CAGAACATTTGAAGAAGCGTACAGCTTTGAAAGCGGCATAAGCAGATGAAAATGAAACAGGCAGAATGTCCAATATCTATTGGCCTGAGTGTCGCCAAATGGCAGGTACTCGTATGTAATCATAAGCCATGGATGGCCCACAGGACTTAGTGGAGGTCTCGAAGTGGCAAGCAGGCCAACAAGTTTTAAGACTCACCGTATAGGGAAATTATTTTCATCATAAATATGAAGGAGTACTCTCCAATCCACTGAGAGACTACACAAGGAAAAAATCAGTGATATAAAAGCATTAACTATAGGTAGAATATAAAAATCTAATCTTGAATTAATTTCAAGTAAATTAAATACGGAAACAAAATAAACCGATTTAAGTTGTCTTTAGCCTGACACCATAAGGATCAATAACCATAACTGAGATCTTTGTAAAACACACTCAGGCCCGTGATTCTTCGCCAACATGCCAAACTTGTGGGACTCCTGTGACAGTGAAACACATTCCAACAGAATGCAGAACTTACGAAAAAAATTTAGACTCTCTTGTGACTTGACAAACGATCTACACTTCATTTTACAGGACAATACGAATGAAATCGATAGACTATTTTCTTTTCTGAAACGTTTTAAACTTGAAAATAAAATCTAATCTCAGTGAAAATAAGGCAGTAATGACCCAAGTGGTTGAAGCCTTAAAACATATAAAAAAAAATAAAAAATAAAAATAAAACCTCATTCTCTATCACTTGTATGTATTAATTTAAAACAAACAAAAAAACAACTAAGTCGCGTGCTTTAGACCACGCGATAGAAGTTAAAACATCTACAAGACAAGTCAACAATAATCTGAAATATAAATTATAAATAATAGCCCATTACAGAGATGAAATTCTGAACAATTCTACCGATTACAGTATGCAGGTCCGATTTTTAGTTTCTGAGATATTTTAATCTATATCTTCAACTCATTATAATTTGGTTTTCGACAATATTTTTTCGCTTTTCGCCTCTCTAACACGGCGCACAGTTGTCGGAAAAGGCACTGGTGAAAAACTGAATTTATTATCCTATACATTATTTCTAAAAGGTGTTTTTTTTTTTTTTCGGTACGCCATAACCTCGTCAAATCCAATGATTGACCAATCATTTTGAAGATATTCTGCTCCTTCTCAGGCCAAAAATAGTCCTATTCCCCCGAAATTTCTGGAAAAAAAGTTATGGAAGACAAGAAACTTTATTTGCGAATAACTCAAAAAGTATGCATTTTTCTCTCGATTGTATTATAATTAAAAAGATTACTAAATTGCCTACAAAACAAAAAAAAAAAATCGTAAAATTCGGACAATTATTAACAAAGATACAGTCCATTAGTTTTGTTGTACTCATTAATGCCTTCCTGTTTAAAGATATTGCATTTAGTAGTAGAATAGTCTAATACTAACTTTATTATTTCTTAAAGACATTTGGTTGTTCTTACATTTTATTTTTTTTTTTATAATTTAGAATATCCTATGATCGGGGCATTATTTTGTCTTTATTACTTATCTTTCCAGTCAGCGTTTAAAAATAGGACCCTAGCAAAGCAATTTGTATAAATATTTTGTTGTATTATGTTTAATGGAATATTGTAATCGACTAAGGAAAAAAATATTAATTCCTTCCTTACATAATACATAGGAACTACTTATTTCCATATTGTTTTAATTATTCTTCCCTGAACAAAATTATCTGCGAATTTTTCGCACGGGCCAACTAGTAGCACTTATTTATTATGGAGAATTCTGAATTAATATACAATAAAACTTATTATTATTCTTAATTTTTTTTTCAATTATAAATAAATTATATTTTGGTTATTGACAGAATCAATTATAAATGTCTATTACCTACATTAATATCAAGAGGACATAGTGTTAAGAGAAGAAGAGCAAATCAACATAAAGATAAAACCATGAGGTGTTGAGCTGAAAACATTTTAACTCAGTATCAATTATGAGTCACGAGATTGTTTGAATTTATCTTCAGTAGATTCCTTAGCATTTTCTTTCAGTTTTTTTTTTTCTGTACTTTTACTACAGTCTTCTATGACGGAAAGGAGTAAATTATATTAGGAATAAATTTATTTAGATACAGGTAGGGTTTTTTTCTTGCTCGTTGCTTTTGTTGTCGTTTTTTTTTTTTTTTTTTTTTTGTATAGCTTTCTTGACTGAATTTGCCAGATAATTACCAAAATCTCAAATTATAGTAGCTGATTTTTGTATTCATCATTAGTAGAGGGTTCAAAAAAACATTTCGATTACAGTAAGACCTCTTGTCTGTCGTCGCGCTTTTTTTAGTTACTTTCCGATAGGAAAAGGAAATTCCAGGATCTGTTGAGTGATAACTTATTCTATGAAAATGTGATTTTTTTAAGTTTATTCAGAAATAAATTATTTAACAACTTATTTGACTCATTTCCAAAAATTACCCAACAAAAAATTATTTTCAGAGTTCACCAAAAACGCTTAAAATATATTTAATGATTTATAACAAGTTGCATGATTAATGTGACAGAAACAGGCTTTTTACTCATATTTTATTGAATATCTTTGAAATTGGAGTTTTTATTCGTGCCTAAACTTTAGGGATAAAAACATAGAAATTCGAATTATCATAACACCTTGAAAAAAAGGGTTTTTTTGCCGAGTTGAGATACAATTTTGAATAATTGTGTTGAGGATGAAATGATGAAAATTTCTCTTGCTAACAGTATGCAGTTCCGATTTTTAGTTTTAGAGATATTTTAACCAATATGCAAATATCCTTCAATTAGTAGACTCCGGCCGACTTTACCCGAGCGTTACACATCGGAGATCTGACGCCATAATCTGATTCAATCTCCACAAAAAAAAAGAAGTAAAAAACGCGCCTAAAGTTTTCGCTTCAAAAAGTAAGTATTTTTCTTACATATTTTTTATTAATGAAATAAATTATTTTAGTAATTAAATTAAGCAAAAAGCATTTCATATCTCAAAAAAAAAGGGGGAGGTGTATAAAAGGTTTGTAATTATGTTTGATGAAAACACTGATACTTTGAGGAGACATAATTTCATAACCTTTGTTTATACAAATGTAGTAATGGGTCTCAGTTTATTCTGTAAAAAAACGCCTCAATTTAATAATACGTAATTAAAGCTCAGTAAACAAACAAGTCTTTCTAAAAGTGGAGTATCTGATGTCCAGTTGATAAAAAAAAAAAACACAATAAAAACCGAAAAAGTTATGAAAAATAGATTTTAGTGTAGTTTATCAATTTAAAATGATTATAACATTTGAAAAAAAAATTGTCTAGTTTACATTGAAGTAATTTGTAGTCACTATAATTAATTAATTGTTTAATTATCTCTTGCTACTAAAAAAAAAAAACTTGGCACTTGAAAAAAAGTTAAATTTTCTCTTCTGAGTATTATAATAATATATATGAACTTTTTCGTAGATCTTGCAGTACTAATGTAAGTTATTGAAACTTCTCATTCAGGCACTCATATGCTGTCATGTACATAAAACTATTACTCTGGATCTATGATTTGGATAAAATATTCTCTAATTCTTTTTATCTATTTTGTTATATTTTATCTATTGATAGCAACAATCTCTTCTGCTCAGCGATTAGTCAGATCAGGAAGAACAGCTTCCTTTGCGGCTTTAACGTTATGGTCTGTAATATCTTTCTGCAAGAATCTATCTATAATCCTATTGTACACTTGTGAAGTTAATTTAAAAAAAAAATAATACATATATATAATATACATATATATACGTATATATACATATATATACATATTATATTCAAATAGTACAGTATATTTATATATAAGTTTTCTGATTGTTCATAGCAATTAATTAGTATGCTGTATATTTTAGCAACCCAATATAATTGGGTAGAACTCTTTTATATGAAAATACAGTGGTTCTCTCTAGATTTTAAATCATTTTCAAGTAACAGATTTTAGAAAGTTATTCAGAACCAACAAATATAAAAGGAATATTTTAAGCATAATAGATATTTATTGTAACGTTGAATTATGAACGAACAATTCTGTTTTGTTCAAATCAATTTTTGTTTTTTGTTTTCTTAGGTTTCACTTGATATTTCGGAATAGAGATCACATGAAGGAGAACCGATTAGTAAATTAAAAATGGATATTTGTACAATTTTCGAACAACTTAATTTTGTACTGTCAGTTAGATTATCTTTTCTGACAAATTACTTGATTAATCTTATCATTAGACACTCCAATCTACGAACATAGACCCGTTTTTGTGGATTCCATCAGTGTCCAAACGAAAATATCAAAAGGTACTTGTTCCATCAACATTACGGAATGTATGTACTAAAGTAATTACTATTCTTGTGTTCTTGTTACAATGAGATTTTCTGTAAAATTGTTTTTCATGTTGTGTGGTTTTTTTTTTAATGGAGTGATCTTCAGGTTATTTTATTGTACATAGTTTTTTTTTATTATTATTTAGTTATTATATTGCTTTTGTTAATTTTATATTTGCTGTATATATGGTGTGAATGTGTTCATTTATCACTATAATTATTGTCCACGAGACAGAATATTATATATCTAAATAAAAATAAAAAGTAAAAAAAAAAGTTTATAAAACAATCAGAAATGAAATAATAATAATATCCACTTTTGTTCACTGTCTTTGATATAATTTTTTCACTGATGAAGTAACAATAACTCGAACTAAACACAAAAATTATTGAAAATTAAGTGAGGATACTTTTCAACATCGCTTAAAAATTAATCATGAGTGTAAACATCCATATTAATTAGGCAGATAAATATTAATTATTATTTAATGTGATTATTTTTCGGAAGAATCTTGTGTTTTGGTTTTCTCTCTTTTTTTTCGTTTTACCGATGATAGCCTATTGTTTAACTTTTTAAATTAATAACTATTTTAAAAGGGATATTTAATTATTTATAAAAATATTAATGGTAATAACTTACTGAGAAGAGGTGTAGGAGCTCGTTCCTCGACCGGCAAGAATAGTTGCTCTGGCCCCAAGTCGTCGAAAAAGCTACTTAACCCACGAGAGCACATCGCTACACTGCCAGCGTAGAGCGTAGGCTCTCCCCTCTCCTCCTCTAAATATATTTATCCTCTCATCCCCCCTCCACAACCCCTCTTTTTCAAATATATTTTTATGTAACATAAGCGAATACATTAATATAAATTACGACTCTAATTAGGCTTGAATTAAATTGAAAGTGCATAACAAATTTTATTGAGCTCGGGTATAATCTTTAACATATGAAAAGTTGAAAAGACATAAGAGAGCTCGGACTTTGAAGCCTATTTTGGTCTTTAATTTTTTGATATATTTGAGTGCTATCAGCGGGTAGTTTCTCAACAAGAGATTTCATGTTATTATATTCCTGAGTGCACATTTACTAGTTGTATTTTTTTATATAATACAGTTGTAAATATCAACGAATAAAAAAAAAAATTTTTTTTGACCATTATGAATGTTGATGTACCTCATACTAATAGAATATATAAAAGCTATGTAATTTGTTTATACTTAATCTAGTTCTGTTTTAATTTATATAGTTAAATTAGCCGAATCAAAAGCATGGAAAAGATAAAAATCCCCTAAGTTGAGTGCAGCAGTTACAACTAGCCGATCCAGGATTTCATTTTTTTTTTTTGGGGGGGGGCTTCAGCCCGAAAGCTTATTTTTTTCAAATATAACGATAATTACTTTGGAAGAAAAACAAAGAAACTAACTACCTATATGAAATGGTGTTTAAGTGTTTCTTGTAGTCAAAATAAATGTCATTAAACGAAGAATAAAACTTTAAGAGATAATTTTTAAATATTTTTTCCATAAAACATGGTTATAGTTTACCATTTTGGGGGGTTCAGCATGAAAGTCTCCCCCCCCCCCTCTCCTTCACTCCCCCGTAGATACTATGAGTGAAATGCACTCTCGATTCCATGCTCTTTAACAGCCTCTTAACCTCCTCACATATTAACGTGTCCACATGAAGTGCATAGAAAATTTAATGCTCTTTCAAATTTATTATAATGAATTTCTTCGAGGGATCTATAGATTATGAGTTTTGGGGATAGGGGAAGGAAAGGACCGACGAAAGCAGATATTTCTTGTGAAATAAGCAATCAAAAGTCTCTAACTCTTCACCCGTTGCACAGTGGGAGGGCGGGGTGGCCGAATGGGCTAACACGCGTGCACAGTAACGCCGTTGCCCGGCAACCTGATATATCAATCAAATGATATAAAAATAGTCACGAGTTCGCGTCCAGGTGCCGAGGGAGTCTTTTAAATCCCCGCCCACAATCCCTGGCCCGGATATGAACCTAGTATATCCTTAACGGCAAGAAAGGGGAGGAAAACGAAATTTTTAATTTGCATGCTCATTCGAATAAATATCTTCTTAGATTATTCTTTAAAAACATCGCTTCCTTTCCTCAATGCCTCAGTTAACTCATTTTCGGAAAACTAGAGTTTTCCATCTGGAACAAAATTACTATCGCTGATTTTAAAAAGGTGAGGACGGGAGATTAAGGTTCACATATTTGTTAATATAACATGTTGCTAAATACACATAATCAAAAATTATGCAGCTCACTAGTATACGACAAAAACGAGGAACAGTTTTCTATTAAGGTGAACGTTGCTGATTGAAGTATATTGTGAGTGCTTAAGATAACCTGATGCATTACTAAATTCCTTATTTATTGCACTATACCGTTGAATAGTAAAAAAAAAATAATAATAATTATAACATTCTTATACTGTTTAATACTAGGAGACAGAACGAAATAACATGTCTTCAAAATATGAATGAGTTAAAAAGGTCATAGCTATTTTTTTAAGTGCTCAATTGGCAATTCCCTCGAATCATCTATATATTCGTTGTTTATCAATATCTTATATAATGGTACAAACACGTTTCATATCATAATTTCAAACTCCATTTTTAAACTTTTGTCCAGAATAGATTCACAATTCAAGATTAACAATCGGCCACGCAGTGCGATGTTACGGGGATACTTATTTTTCTTTCAAAATATTGATTAATGGTCCCTAGATTAAATTTTTGTTTTATATTCTTAATCAAGAATATTTTTTCATTAGGGGGACTGCTAAAACGATGGCCTGCCTCATTTAATTCCTCAATTAATTTCCGTTTCGAAAGCACGAGTTTTCCACCTGTAATATGAGTCTTATTAGTGCAATCAAACGGGCAAGAACGAGTAATTTAGTTTCATACGTTTGCTCTTAGCATGCTAACTTTAATATGTTAGACACAAAGAATCAAAATTTAGGTCGCACACTGGTATAGAAAAAAAGTTACAGACCCAAACGTGGAACGGTTTCCTGAATTTGTGAACTTATTATTTGACATAGATTCTGAGTTCCTAAAATAGTCTATAATTAGAAAAAAAAAGTTGTAGTAATTACCTTTCTTATCGTTTTCCATCATGGAACAGTAAAAAAAAAACAAAAAAAAAAATAGAACGTCCTGATATTTTTACAGCTACAAGACTGAACGAGTAGATTGTGTCCAAACTCAGACTGAGTTGAAAGGTATTAGTTAGTTGTTTATTAAAGTGCCTTATTGACATTACCTTTGGATTATTTATGCATTTTCTTACTAATTAACATCTTAGCTAATGGTATTTGCATTATTATGCATTAATTATGCATTTCATGTCATAATTTCAATCTTCATTTTTGGACTTTTATTCCGCTAGATTCGTAATCGCCCCCTCCCCCTCACAGCGGGATGAAAGACGGGTTTTTGTGGACATCCTTGTAAATGATATCGGATTGAATTGATATTTAGTGCCCTTATGTTTTCAATGCCAAGGAACACGAATATGACGGCAAAATTAGAAAAAAAAATCTACGAAAAACATAGAAAATTCAGGTTTCTTTGTTTAAATCTGGGATTTTTTAAATTTGACTATAAATTAACTTCGAAAATGAAAGACCTCTTGAAACGCATAATTTTAGATACCCAATTATAACTACTCTCTATATTACTGCATATAAACGTATTTTTTTTTTTTTTAAATGCACAATAAAACAAACAATATAATTGTGAAATATTTATATGTAATAACTAAATAAAAATGTACCGTTTATACATTATAAATATTCATTTTAAAATAGTTGTTATGGAATAATAATAATCATTCATTTTATTTTTATTACAATAAAATTTTAATTACCGCCGATAAAAAACCGCCTATGGGGCAGTCTTATACGGGTATCCGTAAACCCTACCTTTTATTTAATTATAAACTTTAGTTCATTTAACAGTGGTGTGAATGTATATTTTTTTAGATTAGAGCGAAAATAAAAGATGTCTATATCCAGTTAAAAGAATAACATAAATGTTTTTTTCTTTTCTAGGTAGACAAACTTTAAGTTTTAAAACAATTAAAACGAAGATTTAATATTTAATGTAATTTTTTTTTGTTATTTTAGTTTGAGGTCGAAACACTTTTTATTTACTTTTATAACACACGTTATTTACTTTTTCGAAACAAATAACAACAAAAGCTTTATGTCCAATACAAATGTTAAAATTAAATTTGAGGGTATGTCCAGCTATAGGAGATATCAATAATTACCTAGACATTTTTCGGACATTCATACATACAGAAATAAATTTAAATATTTTTAATTAACTTCAGGCCCATCATGGTGGTTAAAATTAATAAGAATTTCTATTTAACAATGATTCCTACAAAGTAAAAAGAAATCAATTTTCCTGAGGATATCGGAGCTTTTTTTCAAATCGCAGTCTTTGTAAAAATTTGATTTAAAAACAACTATTTTTGTTAACAAAATTGGAAAAAGTTTCGAATTAAAAGAAGTTTTATATAATATTATATTTTTTTCTAGTTAAGCAGAATGACAGTAAAAAGATGGTAAAGTTTCAAGAAGAAAATTATGAATGTTTAATTTAAATTTTCTTATAGAAAACAACGACTTTCAACCGACTGACCGAAGGTGTGTTTTCAGATGAGGGTTATCTTAAATTTAAAATTGTTATTAGCTTTATACCCTTCAGTTAAATGAATTGGTCGGTAGCTCCTAGTATATAAGTTATGTATTAATATTCTGAAAGAAGCCTCAAACAATTATGCAGACTTCCAATGATAATAGAAAAACCGCATCAATTTCTAAAAACTAAAAACATTTTCTAAAAAGGAAGTTGAAAGAAATAGAAATGAAAAGAACGAAAATAAGATATCTGATTTGTTCAAGGGCATTAGTAGGTCGCATTGATTTTTTAAATTCTTTTGCCAGAAACTATCGTAGAATTGCAGGTTAAAAAGATCTTTCGGTGCAATTTTTAATTTTTTTTCTTCTTCTTTTGCCACCTCCTTAGTGCCATCAGCGTGGAGGAACAGCCTAGGCCCATCTCGTCCACTGATCCCTCTCACTGGCCCTCCTCATATCCACCATGGTGCTACATCTCGCTCGCCCCAGTCGCTCCATGTAGTCATAATACAACAGCCTGGGCCTGCCTCTAGGTCGCCTTCCCTCTGGTTTTGCTTCTAGAAACCATTTTGCCTTTCGGCAATCACCCATCCGGTACGCATGGCCAAACCACTTCAGTTGGTGATCCTCCATGACTGGTTTTACAGGCCTTATATTCAATTCCTCTCTTATCCTCTCGTTCATACAGCGGTCTCTTCGTGTTCTCCCAAGAACTCTTCTGATGTATCTCATTTTTATGGACGTTAATTTACCTGCATGTTTACTAGGACCGTCAAACTCTCTGCACCATACAAAAGCACAGGCAGAAATACTGTTATAAACAAAGCTACTTTTGTTTTCTTCTTTACCTCCTGTTTCCCTAAGATTGTATTGCAGATAGAGTAAAACACACCATTGGCCTTCTTGACTCTTTTTAAAACCTCCTGGTAGATCCTTCCATCTCTGCTGAAAATCGTGCCCAAGTACAGGTAGTTATCTACATTTTCTAATGGATCATTATTACTTTTTATGAGAACTTGGTCTTCCACACCTCAGCCGACGAGCATCACCATACTTTTTGTAGGGTTCCCTTCCTCTGGAGTTCTT